CCCCCTTATTAGGGGCCGGGGGGTCTTGCTTTGTGGGATCCATCGGGATTTGGGGGGGGCTGCGCCTTCCCCCAGGGGAAAACACCTTCAGGAAACCCTCCCATGTCGGTTGCGGGCAGTTCTGCCCCAGCGCGACCAGCAAAAGCAGAAGGAAACGGGGCGCGTTCCCTTTTTTTTTTTCTGTTTTCCGTAGAGCTCTCCTGAGGTTTTTTTTTCCTCAAAAGTTAGGGGCTCCTGCGTGGCTGGAAGGTGCCCAGAGCAGAGCTGGGTCCTCAGGGATGGACACGGAGCCTCGGCCAGCCTGGAGCAGAGTAGGGAATGGAGCTGAGGAAGGGAGCTCCGAGCTGGGCTAAACTGGTGTGTGCTGGGAGGAAGGAGAGTCTGATGCAGGTCCTGCTGTCACAGAGGGGCAGACACCCCTGCTGGGCTGTGTCAGAGCCAGGAGGAAGGCAAAAGATAGCGAGGGGGGAGATAAAAACTGACACTTTCACTGGCAGCAGAGGGAGCACAAGGCTGGGGGAAGGCAGCCCTGGAATCCCCACCTGTCTGTGGCTCCTTCAACCTCCCGACTCCTGGGCAGGTGAAATTCTTGAGGCTCTAGGAGCAGGGATCTGGGGCGTTCCTGTCCAGCCTCCACCTCTCACCTCCTCCCAGCTGGGAGTCCTTGGAAGCTCGAGCCCTGGAAACATTTACATGCAAATGTGAAGAAGATTAAAACCAAACCCAAACCACGTATCCCAGGGCCCCTTAAACTGAGGCTTTAAGAAAAGCCCTGAAAGAGGATTTGGTGTAACTGTTCAAAGCTGACTCAGAGCTGCCTTCTCCCTTGGGTTTAAGTTGATTTATCACGTTAAGATCAATTAACTCCAAACAAAGAGTAAATAAACGGGGCGCGTTCCCTTTTTTTTTTTCTGTTTTCCGTAGAGCCTCCTGAGGTTTTTTTTTTCCTCAAAAGTTAGGGGCTCCTGCGTGGCTGGAAGGTGCCCAGAGCAGAGCTGGGTCCTCAGGGATGGACACGGAGCCTCGGCCAGCCTGGAGCAGAGTAGGGAATGGAGCTGAGGAAGGGAGCTCCGAGCTGGGCTAAACTGGTGTGTGCTGGGAGGAAGGAGAGTCTGATGCAGGTCCTGCTGTCACAGAGGGGCAGACACCCCTGCTGGGCTGTGTCAGAGCCAGGAGGAAGGCAAAAGATAGCGAGGGGGGAGATAAAAACTGACACTTTCACTGGCAGCAGAGGGAGCACAAGGCTGGGGGAAGGCAGCCCTGGAATCCCCACCTGTCTGTGGCTCCTTCAACCTCCCGACTCCTGGGCAGGTGAAATTCTTGAGGCTCTAGGAGCAGGGATCTGGGGCGTTCCTGTCCAGCCTCCACCTCTCACCTCCTCCCAGCTGGGAGTCCTTGGAAGCTCGAGCCCTGGAAACATTTACATGCAAATGTGAAGAAGATTAAAACCAAACCCAAACCACGTATCCCAGGGCCCCTTAAACTGAGGCTTTAAGAAAAGCCCTGAAAGAGGATTTGGTGTAACTGTTCAAAGCTGACTCAGAGCTGCCTTCTCCCTTGGGTTTAAGTTGATTTATCACGTTAAGATCAATTAACTCCAAACAAAGAGTAAATAAGATTATGTGTTTCTTGATACAACTCAGGATGAAGCTCCAGGTGAGGGATGGGAGTGCTCAGCCTCTTGTTTTTTCCCCACAGCTTGTCCTTCACCTCCAGGAGTGTGAAGAGCCATTTCCACCCTCTCCCAGGTCTCTCTGCTTTTCAGAGCAGCCTTTCAGTAGCTGGGAAATGAAATTCCTCTTCCTGGCAACCCTCTGCCCTTCTATTAGGCAATTTCTGAGTCTCTCTTTTTTCTCCCTCCTGCATTTTTAATCTAGGCAGGGCTGTTAGGCAGAGTGAGGAGCTTTAAAAGCAGCAGGAGGGCTGCAGAATTCCCTGGGGAGGCTGGGGAACATCATGGTCAAGTTCTACTGCCGAACTGGTTCTGGCTGGGAGCCCCCAGCATGGGGGAGGATCCCAGTTCCCCCACAAACTGAGCAAAGTGACTCATGTCACATTTGGCTCCTTTGCTCCCTTCTGTCCCCAGGGGAAGGATCATGTGCTCTGAGGCACGGGGAGGGGGGACGTTTTGTGTTAATTTTTTGGGTAGGTTCCCCTTGTCCCTCCCCTTGAAAGCTGAAATTAGAAACAGCAGCAGCTTGACCCAGCTCCAGGGAAGCTTCAGTTGCTCAGAAACCTCTTGCAGCAGGGGCCTGGCTGCCCCAAAACTCTGCCCTTACAAATTTCTGTGCTCTCTGGGTGGACTGGGATGCCTCAAGTTTGGCAGAAAATCCCCACAAACCGGTGGAGCTGGATTTTTTTTCCCTTTTTTTTTTTTTTTAAAAAAAAAAAAGCCTGGTTCGTGGCCCCTCCCCTTGTCCCAGCTAAAATTAGCTCCCTCTTCAGAGGGATCTTTGCTTCTCATCTGAGCAGATAAATAAAGGCTGGGTTTCCAGCCCTGCCTGACACTTGGCAGCTCTGGTGGCCTAAAAGGCAAGAGTCCAGGAATGGGGAACAGGTGGAGGAGGGTGGCTCTGCCTCTGGGATCAGGCAGCCCTGTCCCTTGGGAGCCTGGGCAGGGCTGGGCCAAGTCCTGTGCTGCTGCTGCTTCATCCCAGGGGCTCCAAAAAGCCTCTTGGAAACGGGAGGTGAATCCAGGACACGGGACACACTTGGTCTTCCAGCTCCCCCTGACGAGTGTTCCTGGTCTGTGTCTGCACCGTGTGACTGGGTGTGTGTGTGGGGGGGGGACACACACTCTGTCTCAGGGGGGTTTCACTGCCTGGATGCTGCATGTGTTTGGTGTGGGGGGGTTATCTGGGTTGTCCCTTTGCCCCCAAACCCTGGCACTGCATTCCTGGTGTTGTTGCACAACAGGAATGACTGCAGGAGCACGTGCAGCAGAGGAGCTGGGAGCGCCAGAGGGATGTGGCTGGTGGGATGGGAGAGGGTGAGGAGGAAAACTGGGGGGCATGGGGGAACTGGGTAGCCCCCCAAGGGCTTCCCCAATGCTCTCAGCTCCTGCTGGGAGAAGGGGAAAGGGAGATGAGCAAGGAAGGGTGGTCACAATGCAGAGAGAAAAGCTGACTGGGGGGTGGAGGTGGGATGAGTTTCAGCTCAGCTGGCTGCCCCATCCCACCTGAGCAGGGAGCCCTGCTCACCTCTATCTGGGAGCCAGGGGTGTCCAAGGGCTGTTCCAGGATCCCAGCAGCTCCCTGTGAGCAGGGATGACCTGAAGAGGAGCTGTGGAGGCAGGAGGTGCTGCAGGCTCTGCTCAGGATGTGCTCTCCTGCCACCCCAGTGAGAGCCCAACAGGCCACGTTGCCTCAGGAGCGCCTGGGACATGAATGTTGGATGTTGCCTCCCTGTGGGCTCCTGGGTTTGGATCCATCCTCTTTCTTTTGTGGTCACTGAGAGGGGAGGATCAGAGAGGGCAGCCCAGCGCAGATGTGGGGGCTGGAGAGGTGCCTGGGGGGGTGCAGAGTCCATGGGAGACCCCTATCTTGTCTGACCAAATCCTTTCTTCTCTGCACAGATGTTTCCTGCTGGGCTCTGGCTCTAGGATGTTGGAGACCCGAGAGGAAGTAAGACCTTTTCCAAGGCTGTTCCTGCCCATTCCCAGCTGGGGTTTGGGAGCACTGGGGTGGGTGGTCTTGGCTGAGAGAGGGTGCTGGGCAGGGGCTGAGGGGCAGGGTTGGTGACAGGGACAGGAGAGGCTGGTGCTGCCCGTGGGGTGGGATGGCTGGGGTCATGGCTCCTGTCCCCTCTGAGCCCTGCCCAGGGGGGGGGGGTCCTGGGGGCGGTTTCCCCCCGGGTGTTTCCCCACG